GACAGCGAACGGGAGTGAAGGACCTCAACATCAATAGTAGAAATGAAAAACTACCGCGGGCCAGACATGTAACTCAGCTCTTCAAAAGGAAATGGTCGGCGATTATCGTCGACTTGTATTCTTGCATGCAGGTTAGGCCGTTTGGTCGTGCATGTGATGATGTAACGATTGGATCAGAAATCGAAAGGGCCGTTTTTGACGGAAGAAGACTCGAAACAACGAATTATGGCAGGCGTGTTGCAGCCGGCATTAAGGCTATTACAGAATGGTCTAAGTAGTACACGTAAATCCCAGTAACGTTAGCAAAGCTAAGCAGCAATATACCTGCAGATTAACTTTAAAGTTTGACTGTTGTTTCTTTAGAAACTGCAGCGCATATATACTCTTAACATAAGGTCTCTGGAAACAACGTCAAATGTCCTGTGGATCTCCGCGGGTTATAAACTTTTAATACGATATTATGCCATAATATTGATGTTGATCAAAGCCCGGTCTGCAGTATTCGCCATGAAGAGCCAGCAACGACACGGATATGGGATGCTGCGATAAAACGGAGTGCTTTAAAATGCATAGCATACGTTGATGTATGAGTCTGTTCAAAAGTCGTAGGAAAGTGTGTCTCTTCCCCTCTAACTGCCAATTTGAACTATTTTGACATTACATAAAAATGATTGCAATGAACCGCTGTAGTGAAGTGCTGATGTTGATTCTACAATATTCGCCTGCTCAGACCTGAATACACTCAAATTCAGGTTCAGATTCATATGTGCCTAATCTAACGAAGTTTGTGAATTTATGACATGCAAATGATCTTACAAGATCCAAATAGAGCGGGAAATGTAGTTATGATATCGCCATCAAAAACTAGCAGAGCTCGAAGAGTAGAGTAACTCGTATTTGTTATGCCTCACCGTTAGATATGGTATCTCTGGTTGATATTAGGCAAAGTTCATTGCCTTGAAAACGTTCATATTCTTCGTTGCCAGAAGCACGCATAGCGTTTTATATTTACGCGAGATTATCAGTAGAGAAGGACTCAGGGAGTAACAGAACATCGTGAACTCAAAATTTCCGTCATAAGTTTTAACCGTGAAATGGCGGAGAGCACACAATGGTCGAAACGTAAAATTGCATGTCATAATATCGCACAGCTGAGCGCATCGAGTCAAGTTATTGTGGTAGTGCCAGGTGTTGTAATGAAGCGCAAAATGATCAGACAGAACATTTTGATAATAAATATAAGATGCTGATAATTACGAAATGACAAAAGTACGAAATCAAAGGAAAATCTTTTAAAGAGAAATTCCGATAAAACATCAGCTTAAAAACTTTTCAATATCGTTCTTACTCTTTCCTACCGAAAACATGAGAACCTCCCCCCCCAGATCACTGTGCAAAATAGAAGACATTCATTAGATTGCTCTGGAACCGAAAATGAGCAGAAATGTGCTTGCTTTTTACGTTAATAATAATTATATCTGTAATTAATTTTGGTCATCTCTACATCTTCGAACTGAAGTAAAATAGTTCTGTTCTTATACACTCTAGCATTGCACTACATGATGTCGGTCGTTGGAATCTCGGTCTTCCTTCAAGTTCATGATTGGACCATTTTAGCACCTCCCTTTCATGAAGTTAATGGTGAAATGCAACCTCCTTTTTTACGCCATCAGTCATGAGTGCCTCACTTTTTTAAAGGCAGAGTCTACAGCCATCTAGCAATCGTACCATGTAATCTCTTATTCACTTTCCAATTAGCGGTATTCATTTACCAACCTCAGAACGAAGGTGACAGACTTAATCGATAGATTTACTGAGTGACCGAATTATATTTAATTAAGAATCTGCCGTTTGACTGGGACGAAAGATTGAGGTATCTGGAAAATGTGAACAGTTCCCTGGTGAAGTCATATGTCAGAAACAAGAAATAAACCGTAAACAAGAAATAAAACAAAAATAATATGACA